AATCCAGAGGCTAATATTAAAACCATTAGCAGGTCATTTTCTTGACTTGTAACCCTCCTATTTAGACCTTGCTGAGTCAGAGAGCACTTTTAATGGTTTGGTTGATGTAGTAATTTCTTTGGTCTTCTGGGATCCTTGAATGAAGGTGCATGCCTATCCGCAGTCCAGATGTATAATGCAAATTAATTATTTTAATCATGGCTATATATGCTTATATAAATCAATTAGCTAAATTGTATTTGGCAGTAATTTATTAACAACCCCTTATAAATAACCACTACAGTTTGGTGGCCTTCACAAGAAACGGAAATACTTGACAGTCTTGAATCCATACAGAGATGGCCAATATCCCTGAAAGCTATGCAGTCATTTGGAGACTGAAAATGATGTGTAGAGGCCAGAGATTCAGCATCTTCCAGTGATGTGGTTACTTCAGAATTTCTGGCTACTTCAAGTGATGTGGGTCTTTGAATTTAAAGACAAAGTACTACAAATCTCTTGTCTGATTCCTAGGAAATGGAGTTCTAGCTGAGACCTCAAGTTTCATGAGTAGAGGGAACTTCAGAAGCATCTGGTCCAGTCCCATACTCCAGGACGATATCTCTTATACATACCTGTTGTTGTTGTTGTTAAGTGCCATTGAGTCGGTCTCCACTTCTAACAACCCTGTATAGGATTTCTGAGGAGATGATGGTGAGTTTGAACCAACATCCTTGTGGTTCAAACCAACCTTATAGTTGAGTGCTTATCCTACAGTGCCACACCAACACCAGGACAATACTTGTACACAGTTAGTTATTCAGACTCTGCTTGATTACCTTCAGTGACCAGGGTCTTTCTTACCAATTCCCGAGGAAGCTCATTCTTGGATCATTGGATCACTACAAACACTAGAGAAATCTTGCCTTAGCCTAAACTTGAGTCTTCTTCTATACACTATTCCCCCTATTAATCCTGGGATCATGATGGCTTTTTTATTGTGAACCATGATCATATAGGCCACCTTCAAGTCTTTGTCTAATAAACATTCTCAGATTTTTCAGTGAATCTTCATATGACTTGATTTTAAGTCTCCTCACCATTTTAGTCCCTCATAGGGAGGTGTTCAAAGTGTGATGCTCAGACATAAAATAGACCAAGTTAATATTCATATCTAGAATTGCCAACTGTTGTGCCAATCAAGAGCCTGGTTAAGGCAATTGATATTTGAAAATAGTATCCCTTAGTCTTTGCTAGACACTTATTCTTCTATCTTCTGTGATTAGCTTTTGTATTATCTGAACACTAGAAGCTATATTCATAACCCTCTGTAATAAATCTTGCAAGAATATGTTTTAGTATCCTTGGCAAAAAAATCAACAATAATAATTTAAGTCAATAGTTAGGCATTGTTTTCCATCCTATTAGTAAACATTTTTTTAAATGATAGCATTCATTGTCCTTGAAGGTCTTTCCTCACAGGAATGCACATTTCTTGAAGACAATTTGACCATTTATATCCAGATTCTTAAAAATGAGCATATGCCTAAATCCAATAACTTTCACTTCTAGGAATTTATCCCAAGAGAAGATCTAGGAAGTGGTCATATTCATTGAAAGCTTTATTGTAATGAAAAGTTTGTAGTAACACATGTGTACAATGGTAGAATAAATTGTGATATGACCAGAGAACATAATACTATATAGCCACTAAAATGACTATATAAATGATTAAATATTCATATAGAATGAAATATTTAATGGAAAACATGTTTCAGTTTAATAAGAAATATATATGCATGGGTAAGCATAGAAGAAGAATTTAAAAATTGAGTTGATAACCCTGAAAGAAAGAACTATAGATGATTTCATTTCTTCATTATATTCTTTTGTATGTTTTCCTATAAGCACGTATTATTTTAGTTTTTAAAATTAAGTTTAAAATAATTAAATCATTAATAATATAATACTGTTGTTGTTGTAGTCCTGGTATGGTGCTGTAGGATGAGCACTGGACTGCTAACCACAAGGTTGGTGGTTCAAACCCACCAGCTGCTACTCGGAAACCCTATACAAGGTCGCTATGCGTCGGAACCTACTCGACAGCAATTAACAATATCAACAACATAGGGTTTTCGAGGAGCACCTGGGGATTTGAACCACTAACCAGGGCTTACATAAAAAAAGCATGATAAAAAACAAAAGACAGTACTTTGAAATCTTCGCTGAAGTCAAGACTCATAGAAGATCCACTTAGAAAATCTTTGATAGTCTCCTTTCATGGAAAAAGAATTTCTATTGCTGGCTGTGCAACAGAAAGTGCTTCCTGGAAGAGGTAGATTTTTTGCTTGACTTTGAAGACTGAGAAGAATTTGGACACACATAGACTGAAAGGGCATTTAAATATGAAGGAACAGTGTCATCAAAGTCATGGAGGAGGAAAATCATAGAAGTGTGAGTTGTGAGTGGTCCAGTTTGGGGGAGAAGCATAGTACAAGCAGATAAAGTTGGCATGAGTTCATCAAGTGCACTGTATGTGCAGAGACTTGGCTAGAGGTTCAGGGAAGCCAGGTTGTAGGGTAAATTAAAAGGAACAGTGGAAGATGAGGCAGTGGGCTAGTTTGGTAGACCAAATGACTATAAAGAGCCTTGACTGTTAGAGTGAAGAGTTGAGACTTATTTTGTAAGTAGTTTAAGCCTGATAAACTTTGAGAAAATATTAACCCAGAAAGAAATCTTGGAGGTTACTTTACCTATTAGCAAACCCATTGCTGTTGACCCAATTCCAGCTGATAGTGACCTTATAGGAGAGACGCAAACTTCCCCATAGGCTTTCTTAGGCTGTAATCTTACTTTGTTTCACTTTTATTGTGCTTTGCAGCTATTCTGTATTTTACAAATTGAACATCTGTAGCAACCCTGCATCAAGCAAGTCTACTGGCACCGTTTTTCCAATAGCATGTGTTCATTTAGTGTCTCCGTGTCACATTCTGGTAGTTCTCACAGTATTCGAAACATTTTCATAAGGCTTTTGTACAATTTACAAACTATAGTATTGTGTAAACATAATTTTTAATATTCATCAGGAAACCAAGAAAATATTAGCTTTATTGCAGTAGTCTGGAACAGGACCCACAATATCTCTGAGGCATATGGAGTCCTGGTGTGGTGCTGTGGGTTAATGCGCTGGACTGTAAGTTTGGTTTGAACTTCAAGGTCAGTGATTCAAGCTCACCATCTGCTCTTTGGAAACCCTATATTCGGAAACACTATGAGTTGAAACTTATCAACAGCAAATGCCTGTATAACCTTTAACCCAGAATTTCGGTATTTGGGAACTTATCCAGATATATACTTGCATGCATATAGAAATGATACATGCACAACATAACTCATTGCAGCATTGTTTATAATAGCAAGAGATTGCTATTATAAATGCCTGTCAACAGAGAACTACTACTTTTTTATTAAAGTACATTCGCACAATGGAACATTCAACAGTTGTCCAAAATAATGAAAAAGTACTTTTTGTATTGATATGGCAAGATTTCAAAGTTATATATTCTAAGGAGAAAAAGCATGGTATAAAACACTGTGTATTTCATATCACCTTTTGTGTTAAGAAGAGGAAATATAAATTGATATTTGCATTTGCTTGTTTAAGCATAAAGAAACCAATAGGAGCCTGAGAGAAGTGATTCTGTGTAGGTGTGGGAACCGGGTAGATGGGGTAGGTAAGAACTGAATTTGCTGTATATCTCTGTTTACAGTCTGGGTTTTGAACCATACGAATGAATTACCAATTAAACACTCAAATATGAAACGCTAAGCAAAAGAAACAACACCCAGAGAAATATGCATTACGTGATTAAGAATGCTTCATGTTTATGTAGTTCCCAACACACGTACAATTGAGCCACATTGTCTAGGAATGCACATGAAGTTGGAGGTGGTGATTCTCTAGTCTGTATGTGTAGGAGCTCTGGTAGTGTAGTGGTTACGAATCAGGATGCTAATCTCATGGTCAGCAGTACGAAACTACCAGCTGTTCTGTGGGAGAAAGATGAGGCTTTCTGCTCCTGTAAAGATTTACAGCCTCGGAAACCCTGTATAGGGTCACTATGAGTCGGAACCGACTCCACGGCGCATAACAACAACAACATTTAAGATATGGAATCAGTCTTTTTACCCAAGGACTGTGGAGTCTTTAAGGACATTGAATACCCATTCAAGGTCATTTCAGATAGAAAGAGAGCAGTAGTTATTTGATTGTTGTAACATGCTTTCAAGTAAGTTTCAACTCATAGTGACCCTGTTACAACAGAAAAAACACTGCCTGGTCGGTCTTACAGCATCCTCACAATTACTGTTCTATTTGAGCCCATTGCAGCCACTGTGTCAATCCATCTTGTTGGAGGCAGGGGTCTTTCTCTTTATCACTGACTCTCCACTTTTCCAAGCATGATGTCCTTCTCCAGGGACTGGTCCTTCCTGACAACATGTCCAAAGTACATGAAACTTATGTCGTGCCATCCACACTTCTAAGGAGCATTCTGGTTATTTGATTGTTGTTGTTAAGTGCCATCAAGTTAGTTCCAACACACTGTTGTTGTTAAGTGCTGCGAATCGGTTCCAACCCAGTGATCTTGTATAGGGTTTCCGAGGAGCAACTGGTGGGCTTGAACTGCCGACTTTCAGTTCAAACTGACTTTGCAGTCCAGTGCATTAACCCGCAGCACTATACCAGGACTCATTTTTGTTGTTGTTTTTAAGTGCCTTTGAGTTGGGTTCTGACCCATAACAACCCTGTATAAGGTTTCTGAGGAGCAGCTGGTGAGCTTGAACCACAGGCCTCCCGGTTCAAGTGGACTTTGCAGTCCAGCGCATTAGCCAACAGCACCATACCAGGATTCATTTGTCTTAAAATGGGCAAGTACAGGAGCCATCATAATGATTTGTCAGACTCCATTTCAGAATCGTTTGGTTTGTTCTTAAGAAAACTCTTCTTCCTCTTCAGATAAATGGAAGAGCTGGAAAGCAGTTTATTTCAGACACGGAAAGCACACAGAATAGAACAAATGGTGGCACGATGGCTTCGGCGTTCTCGGGACAGCTCAGCCCGGTAAGGCTCCACCTTTGGTGGAGATTTCTGTTTGTATCTGTAGAGGTTTGCTGTCCCTGCAGGAGGAGGCTTCTGCCAGCCCTGGCAGCGCCTTGGGATCACTGTTGTCTCCAGTTGGCTTTGTTCTTACACCATATGGTGGGACAAGTGAAAACAGGTTAGCAGTTTTGCTGGTGTGCCATCTCTCTGTCCCCCTTCCACCTCTTCCCTTTGCCCCTCCAGTTCACACCCCGCACACATGCTCACACTATGTTGTTGTTGTTAACTGTTGTCAAGTCCATTTCAACTCGCAGGAACCCTATCTACAGTTTCCAAGGAACAGCCAGTGGGTTTGAATGACAACTTTGTGGATCACAGTACAGTGCTTATCCTACAGCGCCACACCAGAAGTGTTACTCACACTCTACTCATACACATTTTTACAAAGACACATACACAGATTTGCACAGATTCACATTCCCACACACACAAGAACATACACTCTAATACACACACACTTTTGAGCACACATACTGTTTTAAAGATACATGGACACTCGCTCATGCTAACAACACTCGCACACTTGTATACACACTTGCTCACACACACTCACTCACATTCTCTCTCCTGCACCCTGTCTTAGGACTTGATGTGACAGTCAGGCAATCTGCTGTTTATATTCTTTCTCTGTCTTTGTTTCCAACAGCTGTTCCTGCCTTGCAGTCCCTATTTAATTCTAAACAAAACAAAGTGAAATCAAATACAGATCTGATTTAACTGCTACAAGAGAATTTTAAAATATGTTCTGTTTTGAAGCGTACATTTTCCATCTCTGATTTCCCATCTGGCCCTGCCACAGAGATGAAATATCACATGTCAGGTGTTTCTGAGACACACGTGCTGCCAAAGGAGCTGAAAGCTGCTGTTCTGCTGCATTTGCCTGAGACTAAGGCTTCGGATCCTCACACAGAGTTGTAAGATTGGCCCCATTTTCCAGAAGAAACACTGAGGTTCTGAGAGTGACTTGTTTAGGACTAAATCCCCTTTGATCGATCCCTATTTCTTACAGGATGAAATTGAATTTTTTTAGTTCAAGGCTTACCATGATGGACCAACAATCCTTTCCAGCTGTTTTTATTGTTATGCTCCAGCTAAAATGAGCTATTCCTTGTGTTAACCTGCTACAAGTGCTTCTTCTCACCGGTCTGTCCCTGAAACCCAAGCTTCTGTGCCTGATCCCCTCCTTCTAGTCCCTCTTGTCCAGATTTTTTTCTCTTCTCATTCCCTGTATCTGTTCCACTCATAACTCCTGTGAATTCACCTTTAAATATGTCTCCTATCTATCCACTAGTCTGTCCCTTGGAGCAATGCTGTGCCCACCCCTATACTCTTGCTCTGTTCCAGCCCATCTTCTACACTCCAGCTAGCGGGAACTTTTCAGCACACAACCCACACCCTCACCCCAGCTCTTCTCCACCCCAGCACTCAGTGGCCACAGTCCTTAGCTCTTTCATGACAGGCCCCTGACCACCATTCCAACCTCATCTTCTTCCTCCTGCTTTCTTGTTCACTTTTCTCCAATTGATTAGGTAGGCTTCCTTTCAGCTCCTGGAACTAATCAGACTCTTTCTGACCTTAGGGATTTATCACTTTTCCTTCTGTCAGCTAAGAAAGTTCTTTTTTCTACTTTTTTTTTATGGCTGTTGTTGTTGTTAAGGGCTGTTGAGTAGGTTCCTACTCACAGCAATCCAGTATAGGGTTTCCAAGGAGAAGCTGATAGGTTTCAACCACTGAACTTGTGGCTAGCTGTCCAGTACTTATTCTACAGTGTCACACTAGGCCTCCTTTTTTTGTGGCAGCTCCTTCTTATGATTCAAGTTTCAATGTCACCTTCTCCAAGTGGCCTTTCCTGATCTTCTGAGGCAGAATGGATCTCACTGCTTGTTCCCTTCAAAGTACATACCTACTAATCACACTTCATCATCCTATATCCATGTATTTACCTTTTCATTTCTGCCTCCCCTACCTGGTCATTGTATGGATCTTTTCCCCACATCATCCTGCTACATAGGAGACCAGGGGTAGTAGCTGCCTTGTTTTACTAAGTGTGCCTTAGCCCTTGCAGAGTATACAGCACATACTCTGATGCTTAATGAATTTTGTATTGACCAAGTAAGGGATTGTACTTATTAAAAGCTGCACTTAAAATTCATCTCCTCCTTCTTCCAGAAGGCATTTTTGAATGGTCTAAAGTTTTTGTTGTTGTTTTTAAAGTTTTTGATGTGGATTGGGATTGAGTGAACGTTTGTTTATAAGGCAAATCATCCGTTTTACATTCAACAAACCATAAACCTTGTTTCAATGATTATAATCCCCTCCATGTACCATCAGCTAACAGTATTTCTGTCTATTCACTTTAGTTTTTTAAAAAAAAAAACAAACAAAAACAAAACAAAACACTCAGGCATATATAATAATTTACATCTCCAAAGGGCACATTCTGCAAGTCTGCCTCCTGGCCACCAGCTCTTAGTCCCTCTTTTCCCATGAATCTAGAGTCCTCA